TCACAAATGTTGAGTATCTGTTAGTAAGTAACTAGGTCAGCTGCTTACTCTTTTGAAATTCGGATAGAAGTTCAAAAGAACACTTACTTCCAACGGTTTTTTCCACCCACAAAGACATTTTCACCTGAATCATCAAGCTGGTCTCCTACTTTCACCTCCTAAAACCACAAATGTTACATATGTATTAGTGAAGAATACAAGTGCCATATCTGCAATAATTGAAAAAGTATATAATACTCCAAAATTATTATTCTCTAATGCTCTTGAAGTTCAGAATTAAAGTTTATGAGGAACCCTTGCGGAAACTAACTCAGAATGATGTTTTGGCACCAATAATTGTTAGCCAAGAAAGAAATTAGGAAGCATATCCAAGGAATGGAACTAGATATCATATTAGCAACAAGAATTGCATAAGATGTCACTATATTTATGTTTGCAAACACCTCACTTAAGAAATAGCACAGTCAAGAGAAAAATTGACTAACCAGTGCCTCCCCATCAAACACAAATCTCACTCTGGTTGTCTGGAAGAAGAACAAACTGTCAGCTGATTTCAGCTGAAAAAGTGAAATATAAAAAACAAACCACATGATAGGAAATAGAAACTAAAAATAAGGTCAGTCTTGACAAAGGAGGAGCGGATTTGTATTGAAGATCTCATCAGAACGGTATCTTATGAACTGTTTCACATTTAATAAAGGGAACAAAGCTCTTTAGATGGTGGCAATTTGGATTCTTCTCTATTTCTACTTATTGGTACCTGGAACAATAGGAGCAATCCAAGTAGACCAACAGGTGCGGCTGGTAATAGGTTATTTGAATAAGCCAATCCACCAGCTAGACCTGTTTCAATTTACAATTTACAAAACACATATTATGAAATGCAGTCTTGTTTAGAAAGAAAGGAAGAGAATTGACTGATAACAGTAAGACAATGCTGCCCATTCAGTTTTATAAAGATCAAAATCAATCAAAAGATTATTATAAGGCTAGTCATCACAAGATTAATACACTAAATATGCATGTTCTAAAGAACCAAACACAGATATAGGTAGCAATAAGAGATTGCTCACAGACCAGTGCAAAACCATATCTAAGTTGATGCAACTCAAAACCCAACCTTGCTCACACCGGAATGCAGCTTGGATCTAGATATTTGGAAAGGGCCTAGCCTCAGACCATCAACATCAACAGGTAGACATAAACTACCGATTATCGAAGAACTATTATGGTCCTAGTTTTGACAATAAATTCATCCTTTAGACAAAATAGGCAAATTTGCTTAAGCAAGCTAATAAGTTCATTTGAATACACCATTCAGGACCACCGAACGGCAAGTTCTTCATCACTCAAAAGGGCCAAGATACCAAAAAAATAAGGTATGTATTAAAGAATAGAAAATACAGAGTACCCACCAAGTAGGACAATTGGTATGCGATAATCTGGGTCAGGAATCACAGTTTCTTTCTCCTGGACCTTCCTTCCAAGCTGCCAAGCATCAAATTAGAATCTCAAACCCTGAGTGACAACTAATGAAACTGGAATCATAACCCAAAATCATTACAATTAAAATTCATACTTCCTGACACCAAACTGGGTGTAATTCAAACTTTCAAAGTCTTTTACCTTCATCTACCATTTACTTTTAAGAATTCAAAGGAGGAAACAGATTTAAAAAATGAGCAACAAATGTCAAAGTTTATTCAGGAGAAACGACACAAACCACTGACGCAACAACAATTCTGCCTCCACGAGGACTATTGAATTCTCTTCTTAGAAAACTTTGTTTATATCTTACTTTGCCATGGAATGAGCTCCTCAACTGTCCCAAAAGACCACTCACTTCATTCTCTGTTTGAAATAAGCCTGTAATTAGTTCTTTTAAATCTTACTTCTCCCCAATGAAAACATAAAAAGTTATATTCCATATTTCACTACCCACAAATTCTTTTCACGGAATTCTCAGACCTTCTTTACGTATAGAACACTGAATTTTATACGAAAAGAAAAGTAAAATAAAGCATATTAAATAGGAGCCAGAGAGTGCTTACTTTGGGAACGCAGAAATGGAGCAGCAGACAACAGGTAAGCGCCAGCCATTTCTGCTCACTGTTTTTGCCAACACAATCTTTTGTTTTTGACAAAAAATTAAAAAAAAAAACTGCAGGTTCTGGTTTGTTTGTAGAATAAATTGACCTCATTGCCCCTGTTTCCAGATAGCAAGTGACTTCCATACCATGGCAGGTATGCCAAGGGCATTAAAGTAATTGAATTAACTAAATGTCGTCGCTTCCGTTTTGCCTTATCTAGTAGTAGCACAGCAACTGAAAGACACACACTTTTTCTCTGTTTCTAACCTGAAGTTCAAAGCTTTATAACACAAAAGGCGCTTCAAAAAAGTGAAAAGGTCTCTTAAAAATAAAAGAGAATGGCAAACTCTCTTTGTTTCACTTCTGTTCGTTCCTTCAACTCTACCAGTAAACCAGGTACTCTAGAAGTGGATGTTTCTTTGATATTAGTTTAATCCTAGGTGACAGAATTTTGAATTTCTTGTTTATTGTTGGTTTTAGGGATAACTATTGATAATTCCTATCCGAGGAAGGTTCTTCGGGTAAGTGAAGTGTTTAAGAGCTCCAGGAGTGCCAGAATTCAATCTTTAGAGGCTAAGGTGA